TGGTATAATAATAGGAGAATTACTAGAAGAATTTATTCTAAACTGGATAGAGGTTTGATGAATGAAGCTTGGTCTTATTCTTTCCCTGCATCAAGAATTGATCTCACCTCCTCTCTTCTTTCTGATCATTGGGGTTTATGTGTCAGGATTCCTATCAATGTAGCTGCTGGTCCTAAACCTTTCACGTTTTTAAGGGTCTGGCATTTTTAACCTGTGGTGAAACATGTGATTGAAAAGGCCTGGTCAATGAGGGTTAATGGAGATCCAATTGTTAGGGTTATTCAAAAGCTTAGGGCAGTTAAAAAAGCTATCAAAGTTTGAAATACAACTAAATTTGAATCTATCTATGAGCATCTTATTTCAGCCAGGACTAAATTGGTGGAATGTCAAGTATCATTATCTAATGATCCAATGTGTGAAGAGAGAATCCATAGAGAAGAAGAGGCTAGAAGGAATTATGAACATGCTTTGTCTACTGAAGATATTTTGGTTTCTCAAAAGGCTAGAATTAAATAGAAGAAGGATCTTGATAGAAACACAAAATATTTTTATCAGAAAATCAAGGCACACAAGTTAACAATAATATCACAGGCCTTACTCAAGCAGATGGCACCTTAGTGCAGGATAATAATGGTATTAGAAATTTGTTGTTGCAGCATTATATTTCTTTGTTTTCTTCTAGAGGGCATGTTACTGCTCCTGATGCTTCATACATTAGAAGTACTCTTCTTGGGGAAGTTGCTGACAGCTTGGAAGTTACTATCACTAGGGATAAAATCAAATCTACAATTTTTAGTATGGGAATGGATACAGCTCCGAGGCCTGATGGCTTTACTGTGAGGTTTTTTAGGGAGTACTGGGGTATTGTTGGTGAAGATATCAATTCTGCTGTGCTGCAATTCTTTCAATTTTCAGTCATGGATAAAAGGCTTAACAGCACCTTTATTACTCTTATTCCTAAGGTGAAAGAAGCAAATAAGGTTGGGGATTGTAGGCCTATTGCTCTTTGCAATGTCATTTATAAGATTATTACCAAACTGTTAGCTAACAGATTGAATCAAATTGTGGGTAAGGAACAAAATGCCTTTGTTAATGGTAGGAAAATTCAGGATAATCGCATCATTGCTTCTGAATTATTGAAAGGCTTTGGAGCCAAGCATACTCATCCTACATTAGCTTGGAAGGTGGATCTTAGAAAGGCTTATGATTCAGTCCAATGGTTTTGGAAATAGATGGATTGGTTGGATTAGCAGCAGTGTCAACTGTTTGGTTCTCTATCATTGTGAATGGGAGCCCCCATGGCTTCTTTCAACCCTCAAGAGGCTTAAGATAAGGTTGTCCACTTTCTCCTTTGTTATTTACTTTGGTCACTGAAATTCTGTCATCCATGTTTGAATTTGAGTGCCGAGAGGGTAATTTGGTGGCTTCTCCTACTGTTGTCAAGGCAAATTGTTTAGTTACTCACCAATTTTTTGTAGATGATTTACTTGTGGTTGTGAGAGCTAATATGGCTTCAGTTTTTACTCTGCGAAGGATGATGAAACACTTTAAAGAAGCGTCTGGTTTGGCAGTCAACAAAGACAAATCTGAAGTATATTTCACAAGGTCTGTTAAGAGGAAGGCCACTGTGCTGAGAATTTTGGGATGCAGGCAGGGGTCTCTTCCACTTACTTATTTAGGCCTTCCTATTTCTAATAGAGGAATTAGGAGGTTGGACTGTAAACCTTTGCTGGATAAGGTTGTTGCTGCAACTACAAGATAAGCTGGTATGAATCTATCAATGACAGGTCGTATTGAGTTATTAAGGGTTGTGGTAACTCCTGTGGTTTTATACTGGTCTTCAGTTTATAGTATTCCTACTGCTGTCACTAATATAATTGAAAGAAGGATGAGAAATTTTGCTTGGGGGCATAATGACATCAACTTAAAGCTGCATAGCATGTGTTGGAAAAGTGTTACTTCTCCAAAAACAGAAGGAGGTTTTGGTTTAAGGCGAATTGTTGACATTGATAGAACTGCAAAATGTTCTTTAGCCTGGGATTTCCTTCTTTCGAAAGACAGGTTGTGGGTAGTTTGGTTCAAACATTGCAATTTAAATAATGCTTCCTATTGGTCTGCTATTCCAAAGGTTACTCACTCAACCATTTGGAAGAACATTGTATCAGTTAGAGATATTCTTAAAGGGCAATGTTCTTATCACATTGGCAATGGTGCTAAGATTAAGACTTTTATGGATCCATGGTGTGGGGGTCAATTTTTATCAGAGGTTTTTAGTTATAAAACCTTGAGACAAGTATCCTCTAATAAACATATTGGCTTAAGCAGTTTTATTGCTCAAAATCAATGGCAGTTTGTTGATATTCCACTTGTTGTTCAACAATTTCTGCCGCAATTCAGGATTTATGGTGAAGAGGACCAGTTATTGTGGAACCATAAACCTTTTACCTTTAAAGCTGCTTGGGACTCTTGCAGGGATTCAAAACCTAAAGTTTCTTGGTTTGGTTTGGTTTGGTTTGGAATGGGGGTAGACCTCAATGGTCTGTGTATAGTGCTTTAATTATTCAAAATGCGATTCTAACTGGTGTTAACTTGCAGCGTAGAGGAATCACTTTAGCTTCCAAATGTGGTTTGTGTGGCAATAAGGAAGAACATTTAGATCACATGTTTGTGAAATGTGTGTATGATTAGGAGGTCTGGTGTGGTTTGGCTGGTATATTTCATTGGAGTGTTCAAAAGTTACACTCTGTTAGCTCCTTCGCTGCAGCTCTGCAAACTCAATTTCACATTAAATCTGGCAGAAACAAGGTGAATAAAATGTTGGTCACAGCTGCTATGTATTACTTATGGAATGAAAGGAATGGCAGACTTCATACTGATGCTATTAGGTCTCCTTCAGCTCTAATTAAATGCATTGTTTGGTATGTTCTTGATATAGCTGGAATTAGCCTTCAACATTTTTTAAGTTCTTAGGAGTTTAAGGTTGTTGCAGGCCTGTCTGCACTGCCCTAGATGTCCTCGTGTGTTTTAGTGGAGAAATGTCTTCACTTTCTTCCTGTACTATTTTGTTATATTTTATAAAATTTTCTTCATTTAGGAAAAAAAAATAAGAATATATATACATATATATATATTTGTGTATTAGATGCAGCCTATGAAGAAAGTATCGCTAAAATCATGGGACCATGATGCCCCGAAAGCCAAGACCAAATAAGAAATTCCAATAAGAGGGAATTTCCAAAGTCAGGGAAACGTGGTTCGCAAAGGAGAAGGAATTTGGGGAATGATTTATATTTATGAATATATATATATATATATTCATGTATATATATATATATATATATATATATATATATATGTATGTATATCAGATACAACCCACAATGAGAAGTTGTTGAAATTCTGAAAGAAGCCACGATGCCATGATTAGAAAGGAAAGTCCAAACTAGCAGAAGTTACCTAAAACCAAGGAGGCGTGGGTTTGCAAAATAACAGATATAGAGATATATATATATATATATGCATGGTGTATATGGAATTATACAAGAAGAAGGATTCTGCAGATGGAGGACACTTGGCCAAATGAGAGCACGTCAGTTGAAAGTGGTGGTACTTCATACAGTTGCTACCACTAACTGAAGGAAGTTGTCAAAAATTTTGAATGAAAAGGCTAAGTTAATAAAATTGTGTCTGAAATAAAGGAAAAAATCTACGACAGAAGGAAGGAGAACAAGAAAACGTGGGACACATGTAGGTTTGTGAAGAAGACAAGTGGAAAACTTACTCCAAAACTATCCACGATTCAAGATCATGGAAGACTAAAAGGACATGGTTCAAGTTGGGCACCAGAAGAAATCGAAAGCAAGAGAATGGAGGAAGAAGATGGAAGCAGAAATAAAGGGAACTGCCGAATACATGGGACACTTGGTAGTTTCAAGCCAAGCCAAGCCAAGTGGAAGTTGCTGAAGTTGCCATATATCAATTGTTGCATGCAAGAAAATTCTATAAATAGAGCACCAAGGCGTAACATACAAGACCTGCTCAATGCGCAACGCACATCAATACAGCATATTTGCTATTCATGTATCTTTCATTTCAGCAATGAATTTACATTATGTCTAAACTTAGCACTTTGTTATTTCATGTATTTCTCATTCCAGCAATGAATTTACATTATTTTAAGTTGAGTTCAGTACTTTGCTATTCCATATAGCATTCATTTCAATAATGAATTCTCATAATGTTTGAGTTAAGTCCAGTACTTCCTTTCACTACTTTCAATCAAGTAGTTTTCCATATCTTTAATTACAAGTAGTTTTCATTCAAGTAGTTTTCCATATCTTCAATTACATTCCAGCAGACAGCAGTTGTCCTTTAATTACTTTAATTTCTAGCCTTGCACTTTCAATACCGTCGTCTTTCTTTCCACTAGCTATAAAACAGTCCCGAAATTCTTTTTTCAAGGCAAAAAGAACATTTGGACCTCTACTTTGGAACGACAGTTGTTACTGGTGCGCCCGCAACCCACACCTCTCCTTTCCACATTTGGAAAGGACCACAGTTTTCACGAGCCAAACAAAAAGAATATGTGAAAGTCTATAATGGGGTTAAATAAATACAAATCTCAAATTTTATATGATTTATGGGATTGTTATTGATATATTAAGATTTAATTTCTTGTTCAAAGTCTTTAACTTATGTATATTGTTATTCGCTGGGTTAGTGGTGCTCTTTTCATCTACTTAGAGAACAGTGTCATCTTGATTCTCTTTATATCTCTTCACTTTGATACTTTTCCCAGTCTCTTTCCATTTCTCTCCTCCCCGACTCACCATCAATTAAAACCCTGACATTTTTTCCCCCACAAAAAAATTTCTTATATCTTTATGAAGTTCCCTCACAACACTTATCCCTTCAATTCATTATCTTTTGTTCTTGTGCACTGACCAAACTGTCTTGACATGCCTGTATTTGCGTGGTGTGAGAAAGAGATGAAAGAAAGGAACAGTACATACGTTCAAGACGGTGGGGTGAAGAAACAAAATAAATAAATAAATAAATAAGGATAGTTCAGTCTTTCCTTTACTGATGAACATTTTTGGAGCAACAGTGGAGCCGCCAATATCATCTCTCAAAAGAAATAAAAATAAAAAATAAAATTCCAAGTTCCACAATGCATTGACTTGGTCTTCCAACAGAGAGCCTATAAAGGGACCAAAAGGCTTGTGAAATTTATTTGTATACCCCCAAAAAAAGTAGCATTTAGGAATCAAAGTAAGTTATCACAATGGCCTTGCATGTGATGCTTGTACAAATTCTCTCCCTGGTGCTGTTGAAATTGACCTCAGCACCAACTGCATCACCAACAACAACAGCAGCAGCCATAGCCAAACCTGGTTGTGCCGATCGTTGTGGGAATATAAGCATCCCATACCCCTTTGGCATGACCCCAGACTGTTATCTAGATCACCACTTCCTCATCACCTGTGACAATTCCTTCAATCCCCCCAAAGCATTTCTAGAGAACAGTAGCATTAAAATAAATGTTACCAACATATCGCTCCAAGGTCAGCTTCATATCTTGAAGATTAGACTCGACGACTGCTATGATCAGCGCGGTAAGTGGGTGTCCAACAGCACGGTCACTAACACATTTACTCTCTCCAAATTCTTCATCTCCAACACCCAAAACAAGTTCACAGCGGTGGGGTGCGACACTTACGCCATAGTCAACGCTTACAGAGGTGATGAGTGGTACACCACAGGGTGCATGTCCATATGCAACAAAATGGAGGATATCACCGACGGGACTTGTTCCGGTATCGGCTGCTGCCAGACATCCATCCCCAGAGGGGTGAGAAACATTAATTTGACATTAAGGAGCTACCACAATCATACATCTATAAAGGAATTCGATCCTTGCAGCTATGCCTTTGTGGTGGAGCAAAAGGAGTTCAACTTCTCCAGAAGTTATCTTCTCGGTTTGCAAGACAGGAAGAAGCTCCCGATGGTGCTGGATTGGACCATCGGAGATGAGACATGCGATGTGGCTAGGAAGAACATGACTAGCTACGCATGTAAAGCTAATTATAGCGAGTGTTATGAACCTGATAATGGTCCAGGGTATCTTTGTAGATGCTTTAAAGGTTACCAAGGTAACCCATATCTGTCCGATGGTTGCCAAGGTACGTATGTATTCACCAATACTCATCATGCAAATTAATTAAATCTCGTGGTTCGACCAGTTAATTAATTCTTTGGTATTTAATTTTTTTGTAGATATCGATGAATGTAAGGACCCGATTCTCAACAAGTGTCCAAAGAATTGTGTCAACACTGCAGGCAATTATACATGTTCTTGCCACAAGGGATACCATTGGGACTACCGGAAAAATGGAGGAGGTTGCGTTATTGATCAACTACTAGTGATAACACTTCCTGTCGGTAAGTATAGACTAGTGTAAATATATATATATATATATATATGATTGATTTTAAATAACCTCTGACCAATTTGTGAGGAAAGAGGAATTTTTGTGTTCTTGGTCGTGTGTTTTTTTTAGCATACTTTTTCGCCTCTTCCTAGTTTTCTCGACCGTAAACTCTACCAATATTATTAATTCTTTGTAGTTTTCAATATTTTAATTCATTACTTTACTTAAATTACTTACCCGAAAAAAGAAAAAAATCTTATTTCAGTTTTAATTTCAACAGGTATTGCTGCAGTGGTAACAGTTTTGCTTGTGGGCAGCACTTGGTTGCACATTGGAATGAAGAAGAGAAAGCTCTTGAGGCTCAAAGAAAAGTTCTTTCAGCAAAATGGTGGTTTAATGTTACGGCGACAATTTTCAGGACGAGAAGGATCAACCGTCAAAATTTTCACAAATGAAGAGATGGAGATGGCTACCAACAATTATGACGGAAGCAGAATAATCGGTCAAGGAGGTTATGGCACAGTTTACAAAGGCTACTTGAGAGACAACACAATAGTTGCTATCAAGAAGTCCAAGATAGTTGATCAAAGCCAAATCGAGCAGTTCATTAACGAGATGGTTGTACTCTTTCAAATCAATCATAGAAATGTGGTAAAGTTCTTGGGTTGTTGTTTAGAGGCGGAGGTGCCTCTACTTGTTTACGAGTTCATCAACAACGGCACCCTCTTTGACCACATCCATAACCGAGCAAAGGCATCCGCCCTTTCCTGGGACATCCGTCTAAGGATTGCAGCGGAAACAGGTGGGGTTCTAACATATTTGCACTCTGCAGCTTCTACTCCGATCATCCATAGAGACATCAAGTCTGCAAACATACTCTTGGATGATAACTACACCGCAAAAGTGTCCGACTTTGGAGCGTCAAGGTTGGTTCCGCTAGATCAAGCGCAGTTATCTACATTGGTGCAAGGAACACTCGGATACTTGGACCCCGAATACTTGCACACAAGCCAGTTGACAGAAAAAAGCGATGTTTATAGCTTCGGGGTGGTCCTTGTAGAGCTATTAACGGGAAGGAAAGCACTTTCTTTTGATAGGCCAGAGACGGAGAGAAGCCTAGCTACGTATTTTCTTTTTTTGCTGAAAGAGGATCGCTTGTTTCAAGTACTCGATGATCATTTAGTGTGTGAAGGAAATACCGAGCAACTTAAGGAATTTGCAGAGATTGCGAGGAGGTGCTTAAAAGTGAAGGGGGAGGAGAGACCTACTATGAAAGAAGTAGCAATGGAACTGGAGGGACTGAGGATGGTAGAGAAACATCCACGGGTTGACATTGCAGTACTCGATTTTGAAGAGACTGAGTCCTCCTCGCTTGGTGAGAGATCGGATGCCTATGAATATGGTGGTGGTGGTGCTACAAATGGCAAGTTTGATAGCTCGACGGAACACGTAGTATTGCCTATCGACGGTGGGAGATAGATTGTTTCATACACACTGATGCAATTGCTGAAGAACTCATGAACATGTCTGGACATTGACTTGGCAAAATTACCTGCAAACTACATATATAGATGTTTGTTGGAAGATTAAACCAAATGTTGGAAATAAACCAAATACATGAACCAAACTCAAGTGTTGAATACATGCACCACCATTGGGAGATGAAACATTTGTGTTAAACTTTATTTCATTTATTGTCTTGTAATTTGTGTATTTCTAGACTCAGGTATTGATGCCTATAAATATATGTTCTTTAAGTTCTTTTGTAAGCAAGAAGTGAGAAAGAAATATATCAATATTTGAGAGTTTTATAATAGTTGTGTGTGTTCTCCTTCTTCATATTGAGTGCTTCCTACAAATTGGTATCAGAGCCTCTTACAAATTGGTATTAGAGCCTAAATGATTCTATGAATCTGAAAGTTGGAATTGTGGAGGTATTTTAAAGTGTAGAGCAAAATAATATCTGGCTCGTGAAAAATCAATTCAAAGAAGACTCAAGGAGGAGGTGATTTTGGCACCGAAAAATGAATGAAAAATTAGTTCTCTCAAATTATGCATATTGGAGCAATATCATTTCGGTTTATCTTAAAGCATGTGATTTATGGCGCGGTGTCATAGAAAACCCAAAAAGTTGTCAACAAAACAAAGTTCCAAAAAAGAAAGAAGAAATGGTACTCAAGATATTGAAGAACGTAATTCATGAAGAAGTTTGGAAACATGTTGAAAATTTGAATTCTCCAAGTCAGGTATGGCAAAAGCTTGAATTTATGTCTTCATCTAATTATAAATTCAAATCAGTATCCGTTGAATATTGGTTCCCAAATTACGATGAAGATTGATTTTTTGAAAAAAATTCTTTGCCAAGATGAAAATGAAGAGAATTTTGATGAGATGGAACAAAAAGAAGATTTAGAAAAAGGAGAATTTGATAAGAAAGGTAGAAAGATGGAAGACAAAAAAATTTTAGAAGTGGAGTTTAAAATAGAAGCAAAAGGGGTTGATGTTGATGAAGAAAAACTTTTGAGAGATAAAATTGAGAAAAAAGATAATGCTAATAGTGAAGTACCCAAAGAGGTAGAATTTGAAAAATATAAATTTGAAGAAGAAAGAAAAGAAACAGATAGTGAAGATAGTGACGTGATCACAAACAAAGAAGTTACAGGAATTGAATTTGCAGAATTTGGTGAAGATATTGAAATATCAAATCTTGAAGAAGAAAATAAAATGTTTGAAATTTTTTGTGAAACATGGAATATGTTCAATCGGGTGATCTTATCCTAGAAGGAAATTTGAGAAATTCTCATATAGAATATTTCTCAAGTGATGTGACATGGGTGAACATTGAAGCATTTTTTGATTTAAATGAGTAAGTCAAAAGTAAATTCAAGAAGTGTGAAAATTTTCAAGTAAATCTCAAGAACAACATTGGAAATCAGTTTCAAGGTAAGGTGAAGAAAAATACTAGACGTATAAAGAAGACAAGATACAAAGCTTGCACATCAAAGGAGATTGCAAAGAAGATTTTTGCATTTGAAAGCATTGGAAATTTGATGCATGTAACGGCTATAAGGCTCAATATAATGTTTGTGGAGGAGATCCAATCCCTTATGAATTGCAAAGAAGAAAAGTGGAAGAAAGCAATGAATGAAGAAATCAAAGCCATTGAAAAGAATGGCACATGGAAGTTGATTAATTTGTCACAAAACAAAATGCCTCTTGGTAGAAACATTTCTCAACATAAATCTTGCAAAGTTGGGAATAAAAAACAAATTTGGTTTAGGGGAGGCATTGTTGGAAGATTAAACCAAATGTTGGAAATAAACCAAATACATGAACCAAACTCAAGTGTTGAATACATGCACCATCATTGGGAGATGAAACACTTGTGTTAAACTTTATTTCATTTATTGTCTTGTAATTTGTGTCTTTCTAGACTCAAGTATTGGTGCCTATAAATATATGTTCTTTAAGTTCTTTTGTAAGCAAGAAGTGAGAAAGAAATATATCAATATTTGAGAGTTTTTTAAAAGTTGTGTGTGTTCTCCTTCTTCATATTGAGTGTTTCCTACAATGTTTATATAGTTATATACAATACATCTTTTTTTGGGAAAATTTATAGTTATATCTTTTATGTATTCTATTGTGTTGTCCAATTGATGGGCAGGAGATTGTCCAAAATTGATTAGTTTTATGTATATGCGTGTTTCGCTTCAACTTAAAAGTGAAAAATAAAATATAAAGTGAACTTTTAGCCTGGCTTTACCTTGATAATTTCTGAGAACATTCTGCGCAGTGCAGAACAAAAATTGTAAGATAATCGAAGGACAAGATTATGAAATATAAATTTGTAATTTGGTTAATTTCGGTGTCAAAACGAGTCCGATCGAGTTACTGATTTTTTATTCGATTTGTCAAGATCTAAAATTGGAAGCGAAATTGGAGAAGTGGTCGTATATATGCTTCGATAGACTCCGTAATTATGAGAACAATGCCGTATGTGAGTGTGCGAGGACACTTGAGTGGTTCAAAATTAGGTTTTTGGGAAAAATTTCCGTTCTACCTAACTTGAACCAGTTCAGCAAAACTTGAACCAATTCAACTTTTAAAGATTTTTCAAGATATTCAAGTCTGACCAACTTGAACCGGTTCAGCCCCACTTGAACCCGTTCAAGTCCTACAAACCTTTTTGGTAACTTTGAATTTTGGTCCGTTTTGATTCCTATTTTGGGTAGACTTCTATAATGAATATGCCCAAAATTGACTTGGTTTCTAAGTATTTTTAGGTCTTCCAAAATTTCATATAATCTTTCTTTTACTCAAAATTAAAGACGACTTTTTAAAACAAAAATTAATCATTATTTTGAGAAAGCCTTTAAGAGATGTTTTTCAGAAAATCAAACTTGATTTTCCTGATTTTGTTTTGAGAGCACACATATAAACACAACAATGATTTAGGAGTGTTATTCTCTATCTCATCGGAATTGAAGCTTAATTAAAGATTTGGAAATTCCGCAAAAGCACGATTTATCTACCTTCACATAAAATCCATATTAGAAGAAGAAGATCTTCCAATCACACTTTGAAGGGGTTAAGGTATTTGCAGAGTGTTGTTGATTTACTAGCAATCCTTCTACAAGGTTCAAGGTAGTTGAGAGCTGTTGGACAGAAAGTCACAAAGCCAAAGATATTTAGTGGATTGAGTCTTGGTAAAACGAAGGGGTGTGAGCCTGATTCAAAGTAATTCTGCAAAAGCACGATTTATCTACCTTCACATAAAATCCTTATTAGAAGAAGAAGATTTTTTTATCGCACTTTGAAGGGGTCAAGGTGCTCGCAGAGTGTTGTTGATTTACTAGCAATTCTTCTACAAGGTTCAAAGCAATTGAAAGCTGTTGAACGGGAAGTCGCAAAACCAAAGACGTTCAGTGGATTAAGTCTTGGTAAAACGAAGGGGTGTGATCCTGATTCAAAGTTCAGTGTACTTTGCTTTATACATAGTAGATCGTTTAAGCTCTTTATTTTATACATAGTGGATTGTTTACGCTCGGGACAGCGCAAAAATCATTTAAATTTTTCAATTAGTTTCCTCGCTAAAATTCTGGTGTCATCTCTCTAACCTTGCTTTACTTTTCAGTATTTAGTTTTATGGTTGTGGATGTTTAATTGATTATATTTGTGGGTAAATTAATCAATCACAAAAATTGGGCAAGTTGACCTAATCATCTCATCTAGGTCATTTAGAAAGTTAATCGCAATTAATCAACTAATAGCTTCTGCGTAACTCACAAAGATTTACCTTGTATAAGAGTAAAAGGATCTTAACTGCATACTCCACTCCGACCACCACTTTCAATTTTTATTTTTAAAAGAGTAGTACACTCGATCACATCTAACACTTGCACTGGATTGCCTAACCGAATAATTTTTAATTGGCTATTTATACCAAATACAACTAAGTGAATGGCTCCACTTCCTTATTTGTTAAGTAGGTCTAGCAATTCACTACAACTATTCGATGCAATAATCATTTTTCTTATGAGAAGAGTAGTGATACTCACATCGAACCCTTATAGTGAATTGCCTGAATAATTTTTAATTGGCTATTTATACTAAATACAACTAAGTAGAGGGTTCTACTTCCTTATTTGTTGCATAATTGACAAATTAAAATAGTAAATCTAACAATTCACTGCAACTATTGATTTAAGAATCATTTTCTTTTTCAAAAATACTTTATGAATATTCATACTGTTTAAAAATTTGACATAAAATATGCCCCTTTTGCCTTTTATCCTTCGGAAAGTATCGAAGGCTTGTTTATAATCTATAATAACTTTTATGTAAGGTTCTTTTGTGTGTTTTTTTCCTCTATATATATTTCCCCTACACCTTGTTCTCTCTTTATATATTTCCTTTACGCCAACGTATTCTCTCTTTGACAGAAATTTGAGGAAATTACAGAAGGATCAAGTTTCAATCGTGTTCCACATGTGGTAGTGGTTAGCTGAGTTCATTGAATCCGTGTTCAATTATTATTGTGGAGTTTGGTCCACCCACTTTTTTTTAAAGGAGGAAAACGAACCACAGGCAAGAAAAAAAAAAAAAAAACAAAAACGGTGATGATGAAGTGCTTGTATGGTGTTATCGCAAAAGAAGAGATCACAGGAGAATTTGAATTGTGCGTCCATTATGGAAGTAATGATGAAATGAAATTTCAAGATTGCCCCTTCATCCCCCCCCCCCCCCCCCAAAAAAAAAGTTGAATTGTAGTGATGACACCAAGACGGTGAATTGCGCGCGCATAGTGGAAGTAATGATGAAATGAAATTTCAAGATTGCCCTTCATTGTGCTCCTATTAAAGTTGAATAGTGATATTTGTATCCATTTATTGCAATGAATAACTATTGTTTCACAATACAAGTAAATAAAGAGCCCGACAGTGTAACAAATCGGTGCAAGAATAATTTTTTATTAAAATTTGAGTAATGATATTTGCATTGATTTATTACAGTGAACTACCTAACCAAATTTATGTATTTTTATAATACATATACTAAATTTATGTATTTTTATATGTATATATGAAAAAATTCATATAATATTTCCTAAAATTTTATTTTCTAAAATTATCTCTTAAATTTTGTATTTTTTTTTATTTGTTACTTTTTAAATTTGTTTAATTTTCTTTTAAAATAAAATCAAATTTTCCTTTTTGAATCAAAGTCTAATTTTTTTTGCCATTCAAAATTCTCTCATTTTTCTTTCCTTTTTAAAATTTTTGTTAACTATTTATCTTTTT